GGCATGTTCACGTGCAGAGATGTACATGCAGCACATTTACACACACAGATGCATGTGCAGGCCTGTGTGAGTACAGGCTCACGCACACACACGCAGGCACAGGTGCGTGTGCCCACGTGCGAGCAGACACGCGTGTGCTCACTGTGCGTGCAGCACACGTTACACACACACCCGGGGGGCTGCACCGAGCCCCCAGCCGGGCCGGGAGGGGGGGTCACCCCGCCGCAGCATCCCTTTAAGGCAGGGGCTCGGCGCGTGTGCGGCGGTGCATGTGTGTCCGTGTCTGCGCGTCTGTGTGTCCCTCTGTGTGTGTGTGTGTCTGTGTGTGTGTATCTGTGTGTCTGTGTGTGTGTCTGTGTGTCTGTCCCCGCGTGTGCCCGCCCCCGGCCCCTCCCCGGCGCTGCCAATCACCCGGCGGCCGCTTTGATGTCGCAGCGCTCGCCCGCCGCGCCGCCGCGCTCGCAGTCGGACCGGGCGCTCCGTGCTCCGCCAGCCGCCGGCGCCCGCTGCTCCAGCCAAACTTCCCGGGGCTCGGAGGGGCGGGGGGGGGGCGGCGGCGGCACGGGGGGGGGACCCCGGAGCCCGGCATCCCGCGACGCCTGCCCGCCCGCAGCCTGCCGAGCCCCCCGAGAGCCGCCGGAGCGGGGAGGGGAACGGGGAGAAAGCGGGGAGGGGAAAGGAAAAGACTTGAAGAAGAGGGGGGAGAAGCGATTCTGATTTTTTTTTTTTTTTTGTCCTAAAGAAAGGGATTTTCGAGGGAATTTGGGAAAGCGGGGAGCGAAATTAAAGGAAAAAGTTTAAAAGTTAACTGAGGAAGGGAGGAAAAAACTTTTAGAAGAAAAAAAAATTCAAGAGGGAGCAAGTTTTTTTTTACGTATAGGTGTTTTGTTTGGTTTTTTTTTTCAAGAGGAGGAAAAAAAATAACTGAGGGAGGGGAAAAAAAATAATAATAATAATTGCGGAGGGCTTGATCCGGGAGAACAATACTCGCCGGGAAAGTTGCTGCGCGGCGGGGAGGGAGCGGCGGGAGGAAAATGCCGCAGCTGGGCAGCGGCGGCGGGGACGACCTGGGCGCCACGGACGAGATGCTGGCCTTCAAGGACGAGGGCGAGCAGGAGGAGAAGATCCCCGAGAACGCCTTCACCGAGCGCGACCTGGCCGACCTCAAGTCCTCGCTGGTGAACGAGTCCGAGGGCAGCGGCAGCCCGGCCGCCGCCGCCGCCGACCCCGAGGTGGGTGAGCCCGGCCCGGCCCCGCGCCCCCTGCCCGGCCCCGAGCCCCCTCCCCATCGCCCCCGCGCTGCCCCTCTCTCTCCTCCCCATGCAGGCCCTCCGGCGAGTGCAGGATCCGCAGAGAGTTTACCAGGAGAAGCTCCCGGACCACATGGATGATGGTTAGTCACGGCGGTCCCCGCGTGTTTCCGTGTGTCCCCCTCTCCTCGTTCCCCCCGTGTGCCCTGTCCAGTGCTCGCCCTCCCCGGGGTGGTGATCCCCCCGGTCTCCCAGCCCATCACCCTGTCACCCCCGGGGAGGGAGGGATGTCAGCCTGGCCACCACAACCCCGCGTGGGAAAGCCGTGTCTGTCAGCACCGAGGCTTCCCAGTGTCCCCAGTTTGGGATCCCACACCCATGGGGGACCTTGGCACCCCTCGACACCTTCTCCAGGGAGTCCAGGACAAAAAGACTCCCACAATATGCTGTAACCTCTTTGGGGACTCCCGACAGGCAGGGGAATCACCTGTTATAAGGCCAGTTTTGACAGGGTACGTTGATTTCAGCAGGTATGAAACATCAGGACCCAGGGATGTATAAAGGATCTGCATATTCCGGCTACCCTTTCCTGATGCTCTCAGATCCGTATCTGCCAAATGGATCTATGTCACCTCTGGTGAGTTCCTCCTCTCCTCACGGAGAATTTTCGTGGCCTCTCTCGCTGCTGAAGTATGTTGTGGGTATTGTGCAGGCACCTACATGTGCTTTTTTCCCAACAAATTGGAGCCCGGTTTCTGCAATACCTGGGCTCTGCTCTGTCCGAGCCGAAGGGAGAAGCCACGGGAAGGGGCAGAGATGCTCGGCAGGAAGCGCCTGCTTGGCTCCGAGTTTGCTGGAGGAGCTGCCTTCCCGACCTCCCCATCCTCTAGGTTTGCCTTTACTCTTCCAGCAATCAAACCTCTAATATCTAATGGAAGAATGCCCCTTCGTTTTTCTGGGTCACAGGCTTTGGAAGGAGCAGCTCCTGGTGTTTGTGTTCAGGGATATGTCCCGCAGCTGAAGTTGAGCTCGATGTGTCTGCTTGTTAAACAGCCAGGTTCTGGTGTGCTGTGGGTTAGGGCTCTGTGGTGGATGATGGCCTAGAAAGTGGGTCTTGTGCTTCTAAAATGGCAATAGAGGGTTTTAGGAAAAGGCTTCACGCTGCCGGAGGACTATTCCCCTCTTCTTGCTGTGAAGTTTTTCCCTCTCGGTTTAAATCAGCTTTAGTAATTCTGTGTGTCGTACTATTTCTAAGTTTTGCTACGTGAGTGATTAAACTAAAGGCTTCTCTACACAAGCTGTCTTTTCCCGTCACCGTCTCTGTCAGAACTTCAGCAAACAGTGTCCTGACTTTGCAGCAGTGAGTTGGGGCTCCTGTGGCTCCTGGGGAGCCAGCACTGCTGCGTTTGTTTCTGCTTTATTCTGCATCAGCCGTCGGCAAGGGAGGACAGAACGTAATTTGGTTTATTTCAGGTTTAGTCTTTTAACCTTTAAAGGGGTGAGGTTTAAAAGGATCTATAAAACCGTCCTTAATTCCAGGCATTTGTTCATAAGGGGGGGGTGTGTTAAACTGGTGTTATGAAAAATTGGTGGATTGTGGGGTATGGAACTCAATGTTTTATTTGTGGGAATCAGTGTCATCCCCTCACACCTGACCCAGCTGGCCTGGGCAGCAGGAGACGGGTTCCTGCCAGACCTTCCTGCACCCGGCTCAGCTCTTCCCAGGGAATCAGTTTCCCTGGCTGCAGAGTGCTGTGACCTCGCCAAAGTTTGCAAATACTGAGGCTCTGTCCCTAAATTTTGAAGTCTTCCTTCAGTTTACAGCAAGAAAAGATGTGTTTGTGAGGCAGGGCCAGTGTAACCCAAATAAGCATTTCTTCTGGTGCTTCCCACCTTGTGTCCCTTCATCCAGGTATCAGGTGCTGCCCCATCCCCTAAAATATGAAGCTGTTCACTTCCTGATAAATTTTAAATTATATTAAATTTGTCTAATTGAAACACATTTAGCATGCTCCCTGGGATAGAATCTGGGTGAGTTCAGAGGTACGTTAGTCCAGCAACTATTTGTTGTAGTGGAATATTTCTTTTAGTCTTAAACTCTTCCTAGATGGGCAGCAAAGTGCAATAGCCTATTTATTAGCAGTTAGGCTAAAAAGTAGGTTGTGGTTTGGGAATCGCCTCTTCCCTTGATAATGGAATGAAATCCAAGTGGTTACTGTCGGAGCAGCAGTCTGGAGTAAGTAAACTGTGCAGAACTCAAAGGGGAGAAAACTGAAGTAGCAGAGGAGGAATGATCCAGTCCCTTTGAGAGCCACCCAAATCATCCAGTACCTCAGCCAGCTGCCCTTGGGCCTGCTCAGGTCCTGCCGTGGCTTATGTTGTGTGACTTAAAGAGCTGATTTGATGTTCTCAGCTAAAAGTCTGTTACCTGACAGACAGGGGAAGATTTCTTCCTCAGATGAAGGCTGGTCTTGTGGTTTTTCAATTTATTGCAATAGCTATTCCAGTATATTATTCTGGGCAATTTTGTCTTGTGTTTCCATTGACTGTGCAAAGGTTATCATGGTAAATTATGGATTGCTCTCATATAGATTTATTGCTGCTGTGTACATTATGTGAAGTGTGGGCTGTAATCTGGTGGCTGCTTCCAATAATTGGGGAGGTCAGATCTGTGACCGAAGATTGCAGATACTTAACCATCCATAAAAGTGTGTTTAATTAACACTTTAGCACGAGTAGAGTCGGGGAGGAAGGTTGTGTGAGTGAATGGGATTACATATCACAGCCATGCGTGCTCTTGATAGTGGAGATTGTATTTTGGTTAATGAGGCTTCCTGGAAACGGTTGTTTGCAGCTGGGATTAATTTTAGAATCTTGAAAAAAAAAAAAAAAATTAAAAGATTAACCCAGGAGTACTCTGGCAGACTTTCAGGGCTTTGCATTGAAAATAGTAATTTACCTGATTGAGAATAGGGTATAACTCCCCGAAAGACAAGGGGCAGCCGAGGCTGGGGCTGAGCCCCTGCCCTGCAATGCTCTGTAAAACCACATTTTTTTCGGTGGGCTCCCCACGAACCCCCGTCAGGGCCCTGCAAGCACTGCTGGAGCAGCCCTGGCTCCTGCCTGGGTGGGTGTGTTGCTACCGGCAGCGCCGCTTTCCTATTTTCTTTCTGATTTTCTCAGCAGCATCACTTCTGCTTTGTTTCCCTCAAGGTGGTTGTAGCCACTAACTGTTAGGCTGCTCACCCCAGCATCCTGCTCGGCTCCCCGCATCTCCCAGCCCAAATTGCCTCTTTTTACCAAAACACACCCACTCGTGTTATTTACGAGCTCTGGTGCCGCTCCAGAGCGATGCTCTGGAGGTGTCTGGGTACCTGCCACCAGCAGCAAGGCCAAGCCCAGCTGATGGTCCCTGGGGGCCCAGCAGCAGCAGGAGGGTGGCAGGGGCTCCCTGCAGCAGGGTGGCCCACTCTGGCTGCAAGTGGCAAATGCCAGCGTGGGATAATTCAGCTGGAGGGATGCTGGATTGAGCAGGCACAGGTTTCCTGGACTGGCAGTAGAGCTGTCACAGGGGGTGCAGCCAAAGTGCTCCTGGAGCTGCGTTCCAGGCAGGGGGCCCAGCCTGGGTTTTGGGGTCAAGCTGTGAACCCCATCAGCTGCTGGGCTGGGGAGGTCAAGGGTGTCAAGAGCCTCTCAGCCCGTGTGCACCTGAAATTGTGCCAGGCCCCAGCAGAGCCAGCTCTCACCTGGCTCTCAGGTGCTGTGTGCGTGGTGCTTCGTGGCTCCACTTTCACTCTCCCGTCTCATGCAAAGTCCAGTTTTTCCAGGAGTGAAATATATGGGATTTATGGGTTAAAAACCTGCGAGAAACTTCCAAAGAATATGAGCAAGTTGAGGAACTGTTTTTCTAAATTAAATATAAAATCATAAAACTATATCCTTTTTTAAATAGTACAAATGACTTTAAATCAAATTAAGGTACATCCTTAGTAAGAACATCAGCCTTTTAGGTGGTTACAAACATTAGAGGTCAGACATGGTCAAACATGTTAACACTTTGATCAGATTAAAATATTTTTCTTGCTACAGTTGTATAATTGAGTTTAGACCTGAGGGGGTTTTCTGAACATTGTTATATCTTGTACCATGTGGTAGTTAAATGGTAGAAGGAGCACTTATAAGTTCCTTTAAGTTCCTTTTGTAAATAGGTTTATAAAATAGGGGAATGAGCCATGCTGTCCTGTATGTAGGGCACAAGTTCCCCCCACTCCCATTGATGGAAGAGATCCCAGGGGTGCTCCTCACACCTTCTGTGCACCTCAGGTGTGTGTGCTGAGCATGTGAGGTGAAGGCAGGATTAAAATGTTCTGTATGTAAAGCTGAGGCGCTGGGCTTTCTGTCTGTATGAAAAACAGAAGTCCAAGAGCCTCCATTTCTTTGGAAAACAGACACTACCTCATTTTCTTAATTATTAAGTTGTCTAACCGGAGCTTACGTGGGAGCAGAAGGGTGGGGGTACCTCCCCAGCCCTGCACAGCTCAAGTCCCCAGATTAGACAGCAGGACTCACAAATAGTGCCCCTGCTCAGAGCCTGGTCCCCGTGGTCTGCTGGGCTCCTGGAGCTCCTTCAGAGGGTTTGAAATGTCCCCTTGGGCAGGGCAAGATGAAAGTGCAGTTACTGCTGGCCTGGGGCCACGGGGCCCAAATGTCTAACACGAGGTCAGAAAGCACAGAGCTGCAGTCTAGGGCTGCTCTCTGCGGGACAGGAGCTGAGGCAGCAGCCCCTGAGCCCCGGGACACGGCTGGTTCTGCTGCATCCCCTTCCCCAGGGCTGCCCCATCCCCGGGCAGGAGGAGGCTGTGGCCCCCGCAGCAGCTGGCGGAAGGAAATCTGCAGCTCAGCTGCTTCTCTGCGAGGTCTCTCTGTCCTGACTTGCACTGTCAGGGCAATAGTTTAGTATTGCTTTTTCCTGTGTTGGGTTCTGATCTTGTTGAAACCAGTGGGAAAACTCCCCCCGGAGCCGCCGTGCGACGGGGATTTGTCGCTGCGAGAGGACTGCTGCATCCCCCTCTCCAGATGTTGTGCGTGGAGGGAGGGAGGGAGGGAAGGCAGCTGGAAGCCAACAGTAGCTCCCAGCGTGTTCCCAGCAGTGCCTGTTGCTGTGGGAGAGCAGCATCCCAGCCGGGTTCCCTGGCAGCAGGGTTTGCACTGCGGGACCTCGCGGGGATGGTGCTCTGTCCCCATAAATTGTCCCATTCCCGGCAGAAAGCGTTAGGAGTGCGGTGGCTGCTGATGGACCTCCTGGCACACAGACAGATGAGTAATTTGTTCCCTCCTGACCAAAGCAAATCCACTTCTTTCAGCTCCTCTACCTAGCTTGAAATAAGATAATGGTGAAAGTCATTTTTTATGTTAAAGCATAACGTTGGATAGGTGGATGTACCAAGGCACAGGGCTTCCGAGGTCATTTATTGCATGTCTGATTCAGTCTTGGTTCCCCCCAAGGAAAATTCTTGTGTTAATTTCTGAGTTCATATCACACCCTCAATTTTGAAGCAGAACTTCCCTTTGAAATAAATTAGGGAGTTCTGCTTAAGAAGCAGTGACATGATACAGCACTGCCTGTGTGTGGTCTAA